AATAAGATTTTGACCTAAAATCTGCTCTTAGCAGAAAGGTACATGTTGTGAGGTAAAATAGTCCCTCAGAAAACCATTTTTTTAGGTTTATCACTATTTACCATTATCACCAATACATCTATAAACTCAGAAGACACTTTCAGGTTCACTGGTGGTTTTGAGAGTAAATAAAATGGCCATATTTGTGTCATGACCCCTGGTTCCTATCACCGCCATCATTAAATTTCTCTAATATGAACCACTTCACAATGAACCATTTCTCAAAGATTAAATGATGCAGACATTTTCAAAAATTCCCCTTTACTGATCTTGTAATTAAGAGGATCCAGTTACATTTGGAGGAAAAACATCTGTTTGGCAAAAAATCAACTTTCAGAACAAATTTGGGAACGCCACTCACTTTCCTCACAGAAAAAAACAACTTAGATCCAGAGTAATATGGACATGATGCCATCTGGAGAATGACGTCCTGACTTCAGAGGTCGATTCCGAGCAGAAGAGTGTAGGTGTGAGAGGTGAAACAGGAAGGGTGTGGTCAGAGAGAGTGACCGGTAATTGATCTGATTTGCACATTTGTTCCTCATTCTTTTAGAGTGTATTTGTTTCCCACTTTTCCTCCACAGTAAGCTGTTTGTTGAGCAGGGTAAGAAGGCCCTGCTATGTGCTGAAGAGCCTGCACTGTTGTTCTGTGTTTTTTGGTCTCCCAAGAAGGGATAACAAGTTTTCTTTCAGCCCTGGTTCTACCTGAGCCTCCTTGAGCCCCTGCAGTAAGCTATAACCAGCTGCGTTGACATGTGTGCTTAAAAAAAACATCATTCAGTATCTCACAGTGCTGCGCGACTGACGGTGGCATAAAGCCACGCAAACGTTGGCATGGTGACCGTGTTACCTCTGAAAATAGATGATTGTCAGGGAGCTTTAGCAGTTTATATGGTTTATTTAAGGTGGAAAAGGGGAGGAGGATTCTGTGTACTTTTTCTTTTTTTGTGAAAAATGTATTTGTCTGGAATTCAGCAACAAGTCATTTGCCATCCATGACTCTGCTAGAATGTCTTTATTCCACCGCGGCAAAAGTTCTTGATAAAACGTGTCCTTTTCTGCTGTGGCCTATGGAATGCTGCTGCTTGTGATGGCAGAATTTTCCATCAGGGTTCTATTGAAAACAATGGAATATCCGGTTTGACTTCATCCGAATTGAATCTAATCTAACCTAATAATCAATTTACCAAAAATGTGTAATTATTCACATCAGAATCAGTTCAAAATGCTGATCCTTAAAAAAATCCTTATCCATCTTTTTATTGTTGTTTTAGTTCCTTCCTTTTTCTGTGTGTTCCAAGGCATAGATATAGAGCATTTGTGAAGTGGATACTGCAGCCTAGTCAAAAGTATAGGCTTCTGCAGGCCCAGTTTGCTGAGGCACAACTTTGAGAAGTGCAATTTCCCTGATGGTAAACTGTTTCATTTCATTCCTTCAATCAATAGTCCTATAGTGGGTGCCTGTCTTCTCTCAACCCTTCAAATGAGTATAATAATCCAAACCACAAAAGGGAGCAGTAATGTCAGAATCTCAATGAGTTTCTGTGTTCTCATCTTCAGAGGGTTCAGTCTGACAGCTAACATAATGTCTGTCATTAAAAGTGACTCCGCCTTGTTGTTGCACAGAAACATACTTGAAAAACAACTTTACTCCGGGTCTGAGATAACGCTCCTTTCCAGATAATAGAGCCTTTGTGTGAGACCAGTTCCTGTGTAGTTTCATAAGTCATGTATTACACTGAAAGAGATTTATTTTAAGCAAGGAGGAAATTTTGATCCACAAGAAATGATGTTTTGCAGTGTTGGTATGGAAATTATGAATGAAACCTAAACAAAATCTCATTCTTTCGCTTTCATACTACAAGCGTGCAAAGTTAAACCGTCTTTCTTTGCTGATAACTTTCATTTATGGTGGCGTAGTGGATAGGGCTGTTACCTCACAGCAAGAAGGGCCTGGGTTTGAGTCCCGGCCGGACGACCAGGGTCCTTCCTGTGTGGAGTTTGCATGTTCTCCCCATGGGTTTCCTCCGGGTCATCCGGTTTCCTCCCACAGTCCAAGGACATGCAGTCGGGCCAAATGGACACGCTAAATTGCCCCTAGGTGTGAGTGTGAGTAAATGCATGCGTCTGTCTGCCCTGCGATGGTCTGGTGACCTGTCCAGGGTGTATCCTGCCTTCCGTCCAATGACCGCTGGGATAGGCTCCAGCACCCCCTGCGACCCATAAGGATAAGCAGCTTTTCTAAATGCCACACAAAGTGTTATTGTCTGATGTAAAGTGAACTGTATGGTCCCCAAAACTGTGGCCAATGTTAAAGTGAAAGCCTAACTGTGAGTGGAGTCAGCGCTACATCTTTTACTTGATGACTTAGAGAACATAAATTATGTCTGGCAGGTTTGACAGCTGAAAACAAAAATGTTTAGCGCTAGTGGCAACTTCATACTCTCATATTTGAACAATGGCTATAAAAGCCTTTTAGGTGTCCTTTAGTTAAAGGCGCAGTATATGATTTCAGTTCAATACACTTTTTGCCAAATTCAGTGAATATCTCCTCACAGCCTGCTAGCTATCCGTTCTGCTCGCTGGAAAAAATCTGGCTTTTGTACTGTCACACATTGCTTGCAGGTGAGGGCAGGTATGCTCCGATAAGGTTGTGGGTTGTAACAAAGAACAATGGCAAACCACAATAGCACATTCAGTGCAGGGGTGTTTAATTGGTGAAAATTTGAAAAAAGGGGAAAAAAAAGAAGAAAAACAAAACAACTATTTACAGAATATATTTATGAAATGTGAGGAAGCGTCATTTTCCCTCAGAATACATTCGCTCAACAATCAACCAACCCCCCACCACCACCACCTCAGAAATGGGGTGAGTTTTTAAATAGACTTCCACTGGTCTACCCAACCCAGCACATACTAGACCTTCTCCAGTCCTGCTGGGGGAGACAATAATGACCATAGACAATAACTGTGGATGTAAGTACAGAATCCAAGAAAAGCTTGTTCAATAATGGATATTTGAATCGTAACAAGCTAAAAACCCACAGGATGAACAGGATGAAGATCAAATTAAATGAAAAAATATTTCAAACTATATGAGCCCCATGAACCACCCCCCAAATGTATCACTCCACTAGGGTTCTACTGAGCATGTCTGAACTTGCCCAGGCATTATTTAAGGACAATTAAAACTAAGCTTGGGCCTTTTCCCAGACCAGGAAGGTGAAATGCAATGCAGCCTATGTAAGTTTTCTAAGTTATAAACCTGCTGCCAGTATAATGATATAAAGCCCAGTAGCATATTGTAACTGTAAAAGGTGACATTATAAACCAAGCTAGCAAAATTTGATATTGCAATGAGAAGTAAACAGTAGCATTAGCTAAAAAAGATTAGGGAAAGTGTAAGAACTACTGTAAAACTAGAGCAGGGACAGAACGAGACTGAACTATGGGGGAATAACAAAGGAAATAGGTTTAACATGGGAAAGTAGTTAGCCCTGTAGCCCTAGCTCTTTAAATGGGAAATAAATGAGTAAATGGGAAATAAACAAAAACAACATAAACAGCCATACAACACTGTTCCAGCCAATAAGCCACAGAGGGCATTTGTGCTTGTGAACAGGAAGGGTGGAAGGGGAGGTGCTATGTGCTGAGAAACAGCCAACAAGGAAAAGATCTGAAGAACAAACATTGAGAAAGAAGTTCTTAGATCAGGCAAAGGTGTTTAAACAGTGGAGAGACCTCAGAGAGTTGACAAGGCTGAAGCTTCCAATTCGCAATTTATTTTCTCTCTCTGTGATTTTAAACCTCAACTCATCAAGTAGATGATGTAGAACTGACTCTATTAACAGTTAGACTTTCGCTTTAGCATTTGGCCACAGTTTTAGGAATCAGATGGTTCACTTCACCGCAGACAAATTGGCCTGAGAGTCGTCTGAACATGAGCTTCAATTGAAAGAATGAGACTCTGACTTTTTCTGAATGAGAATCTGACCTTCTTGTTCAAAGGCTTCAACATGGTCAATTTTACAGACATGCTTAAATCTGAAGTGTGACTTTGAAATCTTAAATAAGAAGAATAGTTCTTCTTCTTCTTCTTCTTTTTCTTTTTCTTTTTCTTCTTCTTCTTCTCTATAATAAATAAATAAATAAATAAATACCATTGGTTTTGGAAATATATATATTATTCCAGGTTACATAGCGTTTTTTGTTTTTGTATGTGTGTGTGTGTGTGTGTGTGTGTGTGTGTGTGTTTCTGGTTATCTGGTGTAACTCCTCAAGGACATGTGCAAATGGAACTGCAGGACCACAAGACCACCAAACGAAACAGGGCAATGATTTCTTTGACCTTCTTTGCTTTAAAATGTTGGGTAAATCTTTATTAACAGACATGGTATTAAGTGTCTCACAAACGTCTTTGTACTCTAATTAATGTTTTAAAACATTGTGTGAAAGTTTCCTGCTTTCTGAAAACTGGAGGATTGAGGGGATTTATATTAGGACCAGAACAAGCTGGTTTATTATTAAAAAGTTACAGTTGTCTGAAACTTCTTAAGTCTTGCTGTCCTAAATTGTTCCTCTGCCTCAACTTAACACCCTCCATACATACGGTGGGGTCCAAAAGACTCAGACCACATTGAAAGTCTTTTTTTTAAAACTTATCATCCCCAAGGTAAAACAATAATAATAATAATAATAATAATAATAAAAAGAAGAAGAAGAAGAAGAAGAAGAAGAAGAAGAAGAAGAAGAAGAAGAATGCATAAATAAATAAATTAATTAATAAATAAATAAATAAATAAAACATTGGTTTTGGAAACATACATTTATTTACAAGCAGAAATAAAAAAAATAGACAATGTGTGCAGTAAAGATACATTTTGTTTGGGTAAAAAGCAAAATATAGAGTATTTTTTTAAAAAAAAAGAACACACCCTTCTGTTTTATGCCCCCACCAAAAACAAAAAAAAGAAAAGAAAAACAGTAGAAAAAATATGTGCAAAAATAGCTTAAAATGACAGTAGGTGGGAAGGGGTAGTCCCAGTAAAGAAGCTTTCCAAGAATTAGTCACTCTCCTCTTCCCAGTGGAAAAATGGCCTTAATCCCACCTAGGCTTGCTAATCCATAATCCTGCCCAGTCCTTCCTCAGGTCTGCTATTCACGCTGTAAGGCCTGACCAATAATGCACAGGTCTGGATGCGAGGCAGAGCGACTTGCTCCTCTGAGCTCTGTTTGCTCGCTCCACACCTCAACCTCTCCAGTTGGACCGTCTTCCAACCTATAGCAATCAAACAACACAAGGCTATTAGCATAGAGCTAGGTTAGAAAAGTGGGCCAGGAAGGGCTGAAGATAGTTAGTCACTGATCAGCAATGAGTCACTGAGGTTTTATTTACGAGAGATTAGCAGTTTATCTGTACAGTATGACCGTAAATGAATGATCGCTCATTTAACAGTTACACAAGGGAAAGTGAAACTTGGAGTTTTATTCTCAGACTACTGGACTACTGGGTGTTTTGACCAACTAACATGGAACTAATGAGGCGTAATGGTGACATAGATAACAAAGATTGGTTAACCAGATTGATGAAAAGGATTGGTTAACCAGATTGGTTGACGCCTTGCTGATGTATGAGCGCTGCTTCATTTTCATAAAGGGAGCAGCTGGTAATGTTTCGCCTGAATTTCCATAATGAACAATACATCCTTTTCATCACCTCCAATGAAAATGAACAGGGGCATGTTTTGATCTTTGCCAGTAGACATATAGCCCCCCACCTCTGTTAAAATATTCTTCTCTGGGATCTAGTATCTGCTGACTACATAACAGTTGAACAGATTTTCTTACTTTTCATTATTATTTGTTTTTTTACGGTAGATAAACAAATATAATAATTTATATAAATAGTAAGTTGAAAAATATGCACTCTGCTTCTCTGTTTTTATCATAACTCTTGCTGCTGTCCTCTCTGAGTAGATTAACCTATTACAAATGCTGGTGTAGATTGGCACAAGTGAACAGGTTTGGCTGCATAACTCATTTTTTTTTTTGTCTGAAATGACAAAAGGAACTTTCAGGCATCACCTTACTTGCAGTTTGTTGACAACACAGTCACCCCTGGTGTAATTTGACTACTTGGGTTACTTCACGGTACTTTAAAGGGGAATTTCAGTATGATTATGACATAAACAAACTCACTCTTTTTTTTTAATGCCTGGACCCTCTACCAAACACCCAATCCCCCAACCACCCACAGTCCCTCCCTCTCCACCCCTCAAAGTGAAAGGAAAGAGCCGAGAGACAGTGCAGAAGAAAGAAAGAAAAAAAAACATACAGATGATGGACAAACTGGACAACAAAAGCAGACAAAAAAAACATTTGACAAAACAAGAAACAGAGTAATAACGCCCCTTCCACCTTTTTTTTTGCATGCTATGATTATGATATGAATAGCTGTCAGATTCTATGTATTTGTTTTTAACCGTTTCTTGAAGAGTGTGGAAGGAGAAATCAGCTCTCAGTATAGTGTAAAAATTGAGACCAGATTTCCTCAAATTATTTTTTATTATATTTAAGTCTGAAGTCTTTCCAAGTTGCAGTGATCTGTAAAGAGGCTAAGCCAATGCTTTATTGAAATTTGGGTTCTGGCCTTCCAGTTCAGCAATATAACATGTTTGGCAATGTTGAGTGATATTAATGTAAAGATTTTCAGGTGATTGTGTGCTGACATGAAAAGAGGTCATTAAGTAGTGCTACATTTGGACAGACAGGAATGACAAGGCCTTGTATTAACTGGAGTTCTGAATTGCTGATTGCTGGTCATAGAGAAGATGTCATTGCATATATTTTGCCAGATTTATGTCTGAGGTCCATTTTTAAAAGGGTAAAATAATCTTTTAATGCTATGAGTTTATATATTTGTGGTTTCAGTCAAAGTCATTTAGAGTAGTTTGATGTGAAATGCACCATGCTAGAAAAATTAGAACTGTTCACAGTGGTGGTGATAGGAACCAGACATTTAAGGTGTTTAATGCCTGTAAAAGCTGCCTCACAGGCAGTTATTACGTGAAATGCTTATGAATGTTAACTAACAATAGTTTTGAGAGATTTTTTTTCTTCAAGTCCATTTATTTCAGAGAGATACATGCAAGACGTTAAGGCAGAATAGTACCCAAAGAATAAATTTTCACATATATAATATCACCATTATCAACATTACACATGAAACAAACCCAGCAGTTACGTGTAGGTTCACTGGTGGTTATGAATAGTAAACAGAATAGCTATGTTGTAGATTATATTATGTTGTAGACATCACAACACCTGGTTCCCATCACCACCACTGTAAATAAATCTGACTCAGTAAGGCTCTCCACAAGGCATCAATTCACTTCAAAACACTCTGAAACACTTTGTTTACCTCTCAGTGAATTATTTATACAGAGATTCTGAAAATTTTTTTAAATTTCTCATTAAAGTGCCCACATCCTGCATGTTGTATTTTATTTTTTCCCTGAATTCCTTTTATACTGTTTTTTGTGGTTTGAAACACTTTTTACGTGGCCATTTTGTCACTTCTCTTTATCCCTTAGAATGAGACTATTTATAGCAGTTTAGCTCCGACCTTTCACACTGAAGTCATAAGAAGTGTTTAAGCCCAGAATGATTTTTAATCATTTTAGGTCATTTACATATATGTAAGTCTTAAAGGCACAGTAACAAAAATAGCCGGGATGTGTAACTCTAAAGGACATTATTGTAATAAATTAAGATCATCTTAAGGGGCCCATATCATGGAAAACCACACAATGTAAGTACTGGACAGCCAATGAGAAAAGAGATAATTTACATATATCATTGTTAAAGGTACAATGATGAAAACAAAATGAATTAGAGGATGAATTAAGTGAGGTTGGAAGTTTCTCTTCACTTTAAAGGAATATTTTTTTGCCCACTGGGGTGAATCGCGTTTACACCATAAACCAGTAACTGAATTTCTTAGTTAAGGCAACATCCAATATTATGCGTAGAAAAGATCTAAGTGTATTTCTAATTTTTATATTTTAGGATGGGGCAGTCATTTTTAAGCATGGTGGCAACAGTAAAGTTCTTTTAGATTAAGATTTAGAGAAATAAATTGAGTGTATTATTATAAAACCTCACAACTAATACAAATGAGTTAATGGATCTCATTAAATGTAAACCCAGCCCTCTCATCCACTTTTTGAGATCATTCACAATAGTGCTTCCTCGCACTGTCACACAGCAATTAGTGGTGTGTTGTCATGCTCCAGGGAAGACATTGTCGCCTAGAAAGGGTAGCTTTTAAAGTCATTCTCATTGAAGGTATTATGTGCTGTAAGGCCAAATCTGTAAAACTGCAACTCTATATAACTACATGACAGTTTTGAAGCATCATAACCAAACTGTACCATCATTTATCCATTTAGCTTTACATAATGTAGTGATGTTCACATGGGTTTAAGATAAGACTGATGGGTTTACTATGCAAATGTGTTAGTTACAAGTTAGTTACAGAGGGATTAAGTGATCAGACTATTTGAAGGCTGCTGCAAATAAACAAAAACAGAGCACTAAGAATATTACCTGCTTTATAGAGATATTATAGAGAGATAGATAGAGACCTTTTGTACCACATTAAGATCTATGCTGCATGAAGTCAGTCATTACAGGGGGAAACTGAAAGATACTGAACTTACCCTTGGGTACTAATGGCTGGCTCACTTCCACAAGTCTGTGCAACAGATACCACCGGTACCCTATGTGGAAAGCTGAGACTGGGTCTCCTGTCAGACTGGCTGCGCCGAATGAAAGGCTGGGGCCCTCGAATAGATACCGGCAGCCTGCCACGCTCACCCCAGGGGCGAGGGAGGATGCTGCTGCCGGAGGAGGCCCATGCTTGTGGGGGCTTAGGCACGGGAAAAGGCTGTGCCTCAAACAAAGATGGTGAGGCTGGACAAAATACTGAGCGAGCATTGCTAAATACTCTTGAAGTAGAGTCCTCATTACTGTTCTCTCTGGACCATCGCTGCACTTTTGGCGAGGCTGGGGGAGATGGTGCCTTAAATGGGAAGGTGGCTGAAGAAATATAGCTCATAGAACTGGAAGTGATCTCTTGCCGCATGGCAGGGGTAGTGGGAAGTGTCCGTTGGCCAGCGGGTGGGGGAGTAGGAAGTTTGCGAAATATCGGTGGACTTGCTGAGCTGGGATGAACTGTCTGCTTTTTAAAGACAGGGGGGCTGGGCAATCTTCTCTGTAGAACAGGTGTGGAAGGTAACATGCGAGGTCTGGAAACAAGTGGAATTGCAGGCGTTAGACTTCCAGCTACTGGTGTAGAGGGCACTGTTTCAGGGGTGATCTTGTCCCCCTGTTTTTTTTCAATATTGGTTTGAGCACTACAGGATTTGATGTTGCCGTTTTCACATGCAGGTTTCTCTGTCGGAGAGTCAGCGGAATGCCTCAAATGGATAATTTTCCGTGCCTGTTTGTAAAGAGAGGCAGCCTCCTCATTCTCCAGATCACACTCAGGTTTGGAATCGTGCTGAGAGTTTTTAACAAGTGCACTGGGGTCCTGTGGAGCAGTGCGTGCTGGTGACATGCTAAGAGAGCTCTTCCGCACACTGCCCTTGCTAGGTAGTACTGTAACAGATTGCATTGAGGCACGGAGCCTTTGAGACACACTTGTCTTCTTTGGGAGGGTTGACCGGCCCCTTCTGGTTATACTGTCATCTGTTTTGCTAACATCAACGTTTTCAAAAGAATTATCCATGAGGACCTCTATAGGAGGTGGTGGTAAGTTGTCCAAGTCAAGATCATCTGTCCTCTCAGAAGTTCTTGATTCCCCTTGGTTGCTGTTGTCATTTTCATTGCATGAAAGCCTATCTGCACCACTTAAACCTGGAATGATGGGAACCCCACACTTCATGACCCCTTTGAGAGGTCCAAGCACCTTTGTACTTTCATGAATATGTTTACTCTCCTCCATTCCCTGACTGAAGGTGTCAATCAGTCTTTTGACAGAATTCCCTCCCATTCCTAAGGGTTGTCGGAGAGATGGTGGTGGGCTTGGAGGGGGTGTTGCTTTCAGGGGACCCTTGATAGGTTTATCCTTTTTCTTTGTTTCCTTCTCCCTTTCCTTTCCATCCTCCTGCTTTCCTATGACTTCTTGTGCATTGATGGACTTTCTCTGAATATTTGAAGAAGCAAGGTTCTTGTTCAAAGGACGCAGTTGCCCAGGTACTTTGAGTGAACCAGTCTGTGTTTCATGTCCTTGCAATGGTTTGGAAACATCTTTTCTTATGTTTCCTTCAAACCTGACCTTTCTCATTCTCTCTAACCTCTGACTCAATTCTTTTTGTGTCCTTTCCAGTTCAAGCAGTGTAGGGTCTTCAGCTTTACTACGAAGAGATTCTGCTGATCTTGAACGGCACTGTTTAATGACTGTGGTCTTCTTCTTAGGTGCTCGAGATGTAGCTGTTTGTGGTCTTTTGGGGCTTTTCTCTCCCTCTTCGGTCCACTGCCTCTCACTAACCTTTGAGGTTCCAGCCTTTGTCTTTGTTCCAGAGCGCTGAGAGGGAACAAAGTGAATCCGTCCACTGATGGCATCTTTCATCTTTAATGTCATTTCAACATTTTGTGGATTCTCTATTCGCTTTGCAGGCAGGCGCCGTGGTTGCTTGCCAGGGTCTGGAGGAGAAGAACTTGATCGCTTCCTGATAATACCCTCGCAGTGCTCTTCCTCACTGGCTTCCTCATTCTCCTCTTCTTCTTCCTCTCCTTCACCATCATCCAAGGAGGCAGAGCCAAGCAAAGATTCTGTATCTCTGAACTCTTTACCTGTAATGGTACAGGTTGAGTCTATAGAATTTAGAGAGCTACTTTTTGTCATTTTTGGGCTAAGTAGTCGTTTAGAAGAGCCCTGGTGGGTCAGCGTTGAGCTTCCAGGACTGCAAAGAATTGTGTGATTGGATCCAGTTGACTCACAGCTTTCCCTACGGTGGCGTTGCCTGTCTGACCCTGCCAGTGACTCACTCTCCGCCCCAATGCCACTGTCTTCACTGAACAATGCTGAGTCCTCTGGACCAGGTCTCCGTAGTGAGGCAGCTTCAATCCTAGTCAGCAACTGCATTAGCCTAGCCTCAGCTGCACGCTTAGCCTTCAGTTTCTCCTCCAGGACATCAGATATAGATGAAAAATAATCCACAGCGTCCTCAAGGGCTGTGTCTCCAATTCCACTCACCGACTGCCCCACAAGACGCATCCTCTGAATGGTGTACTGAAGTAGTTGTTGTAGCAAGTCAGGTGGGGGCTTGGAGGAAGCAGGCTTGCTTTTGGTTGAGCTGGACGAGGAAAGATTTTTCATATTACAAGGCCAAGCCAGATGTTCACCATTTTCTTTCAAAAGCTTCTCCCCTGCTTCAACCATTTCCTCCAGTCCTCGGTTTATCTCTTCATAGCGCAGAGCCATGAATGCCACCATGGGTTGCAAGGAAATTTGAGTCTGGGCTGCATGATCTAGTAAACTCAAAAGAATTTCATATTTGGCAATACTTGGATTGAGAAAGCCGTATGCTGCTTGATGGGCTTTCACAAGTGGCTCTGGAAAGTCCACCTTCTCTTCAACTGCAGGTTTCTTTTCCTTCTCTTTCTTTTTGTTTGGCTTTGCACTTTTAGGACCCTTCTTTGACTTCTTTGTTCCCTTTTTCTCATCCTTCTTTTCATCTAGTTTCTCCTTTGTTTGGGATAGTAAATTAATTGTGATGTCTTGAGTGCCCAGTTTTTCAGAGGTAATAGTTGCTGGTTCAGCTACAGGGTGTTTCTTTCCTGAAGAGATACAATTTGTATCTACATGATTGTTCAGTTTCTTTTCTCCTGCTGCCTGCTGACAAGCTTCTCCATCTGTCTCACCACCGCCAGAGCTTCCACTGCCTCCGTCATCAGATTGTGAGTCCCCTGTAGTTTCCTTGGTCCCAGGCAGCAGCGTTTTCCCTCTCCTGAATGGTCCATGTGCCAAGTTATTTCCCCTTGATGGGGAACAGCCCATTTCAAAAGCAACTTCTCTTAACAGTTTTTAAAATTGAAATATAGAATCCAATAAGAACATGTAGACACGGTGCTCCATCTGAAATAACAAGGGTTTAGAGTCTTACCCGACAGCTGCACATGTCATTTTCAGATGGCTAATCACAGAGTGCACTTGACAGCCTGTATGTGTCCTTGGAAATCACAGCTGAACAGAAGAAGGGTACATTCTGGAAAGTTTCTCGTAACACAGTCACTTGTCTTTATAATCCAGAGAAATGATTGTAAAAATAAATCAAAATGATCTTCTTTCGTCTTGAAGTGGCAGTATCAAGCAGTTTGTGCAACAAGGTGGTGTCCTTCTGCACCTTGTGGAGGATGAGCAGCTGAAAGGATTAGAGAGGATTTGAGTGTAGACCTCAGCATGCACATATGCCACAATAGAGCAAATAAAACTCACACACATGCAAGACCTTAAGCTCATTAAGGTAATCAGGGCTATTTTCAGGTGTCTTTTTATAGCCCAAACAATGCCCCTTATTTGCCCCTTTCATTATAAGTAACAGAGAAGCAAAAATAAAACAACACTAATTAGTACACAAAGTTTGAGTAAAATTCTATAAATATTTCCTTATTTAGTTATGTAGCTCTAGAAAAATGATTAAAATGATGATTTTGTTCAACACATTGCTATTAACTGTAATGTTATTATTATGAATATGCTTTCTAATGAATTTACTGATTAGAAACTTTTTGTTTTCCTACTATCAAACTTAGCAGTGTTAGCACAGTGACACATGCACCACGGCCTGTCCCACTACTCGGCCAACCTGAATACGTACATTAAGCCAGGTGTAGCATGTGCTGTGGATAAGAAAGCTACTGGTGCATGTGGCACAGATTAAAGGAAGGGGAATAGAACGCACGCATACACATGTTCATACACACATATATGTGTGTGTGTGTGTGTGTGTGTGTGTATGTATATATGTATACACGTTATTATGTTAATGGGATTGAATTGTAGGAAGAAATAAGATACAATAAATTACAATGATTGTAAAAGAAATTGTTTGGACATTTAATGTGCTGTTTGCAAATATGTGCAAATACACTTTTTTCACTGTTCTTGCTAAGATAAATATCAACTGATGCTTTCACATTTTGGAAAATGACACAATGCCTTTGCTTACCCAGCTGATTGACAAGCAAGTAGGTCATCTTTTGTGTGGGCGAGAGGCAGGGTATTGAGGATGAGTAACAAGGTATTATTGTAATCTCTTTCCTTCTCCCAATTGCAGGACACAGGGGGAAAGCTGATACTGTGGCTGTCCATTTATTCATGTGCAAAATGTTTTCAAGATCTTTGCTGAGGCTTTGATGGTCTATAAAAGTATTAATATTATGTATATGTGTGCCACACAAACAGGAGAGGCCAGAAGGCTGGATGTAAGCATGAGTTCGGGAACTTTAATCAGATAAAACAAAACACAAAGCATGAAACAAATACCAGAAAACACAGGCAAGTCATTTTTAATCTTTTATGTAAGGGCTACTTATAGAAAGACTACAAATGGCATTTTGTTCTAAGTTATATTAAGGAATGACAATAAAGAACACTTCATTTGAAATTCCAGGGAAAGGCAGGGTAACAGAGTACACTCTTAAAAATAAAGGTTCCTAAATTCTTCTTGGCTTGAAAATAGGGTTCCACGAATAGTACCAGTCCTAACCTTACTGGGGCCCTTTACAAAAGTTTCCAAAACTACCTGCATCTTGTTTTCTCTTTTCATTGTCAGTGTCACGTTTTTCAGCCACTGGTGGGTAAAGGTGCTTTGAGGCCTCCTGTTATGTCTGCTGATATTATGTTGGTATGGATGACAGGAAAATAACATAACTCGTTGTTGTTAAATGTGCCCAACAACATTTTGACTAAACATCACAAATTGCTTAGGCCTACTGGGGTACCCTGCACTCTAAAATATATGACATCATTTTTGCTGTGGGGGGGCACCTCAGCAAATGGGGGCCCTATGCATAGTTTTCAAATAGAAGGAACCAGCACTGTCTAGGAAGAACCTTAAATTGGTATAGAACCTGTAATTTATGTGGAGGTTATCAAACCTTAAAAGGCTTTTTTCACACTCACACATCTCATTTACAACATTGCATCTTTTTAGAACAATCTACTGAAGCGATGCTCTAAAGAACCATTTTTGATTCAATTTGGTGCCTTTATATTTCAGAGTGTACACACATATGTAAAGGCCAATAAATAGGTGGGGTGAGATTTTGCAATAAAGTTAATGTAAACAAAGTAGCTTTTAAAAATCATAGTCTTAAATATAAAGGGGCAAAAGGTTTGAGTGCTAGAAGAACCTCCTTTGGTTTAAAGCTCTTCTACATACTATAAATAATGCAGAATTTTTTGGACCATGTGTCCAAGACATGAACCATTTAGGAACAATTATTTTTAGGAGTGAAGACTGAAGATTTCTCAAGTGTGAATTATCAAAATATAATATTTTCACTCAAGAATATATTCCCCCATTTTTATTAATGACTGTACACATGCCAAGATACACACAAATGTCCAAATACAAATATACACATATGTAAAAACATAAATAAACAACACAATCAGTACCTCTTTGGGAGCTTGACTCTAATAAAGGAAAAATGTGCATATAGATCAACAATGCACTAAGTACAGTCTCAAAAGAAATCTGAAAGGCCTTGTGGTGATGTTTTCCAATTTTTGTACAGTAAAGCCTAATATTTCATAAAGTAAAAGACAGGGCATACTTATAATAATGCCGCTCATGTCACAGCCCATGTTTTTCAACCCTAAAGCCATTATTACCCCATCATAAATTGTTGCTATTTTGGTTCAGTTTACCAGACTAAGCCTAGTCCTGAACTACATATTCCATAAATTAAGAATACCAATTCAGAATGCTGTGTAGTCCAAGATTAGGCTAGGAAACTGACTCTAAATGCCGAACTCACAGAATCCCCATATTTTACTCTTGGTCACAAATGGGAAACCAGAGTCAAAACTTGCATCAGTTGATCAATCACACCCAATTACAGACCTCATCTTTCTCAAATGCAAGCTTAAATGAATTGACCTGATTATATGACCAGTTTCACCACCCACATACATTTTAAATTTTATATGAAGAAAATCTGTTTTTAATTTACAGTTTATAGTGCAGAACAAAAAAAACACATTTACACATTTTTCCATCTTTACAAACTCAAAACAGTGAATACATTTACGTAAAATACATGGACACTAATACTTTTAGGTACCTAGCTCTACAGGCTGTTAAATAGATCTTCTCTGAAGCCTTCTCCGCATGGTGGATTGACAGTTAATAGGATTCTCTGCTTTAAAAATGTACACAGGTGATTCTGGGCTGCAAACACCAGTAGCAGTGGAGCACATGGTGGTCTGTGAGGGTGAGATTTTGAGACCACTTTTGTTACATAGAGATCCTACCCCAGACAAGTCAGAGAGGCCTGAGTCGACTGAAGTTCTGGCACTACATGCTCGTGCAATGTATGCCTCCACAGTGACATCCTCCTTCTTTTTGCAAAGGGCCATGTACCACTTAGGTGTAAAGTGGCAGAATATAATGCCATACGTCGACACCAAGATTGCTGCGGCCTGAATTGAGTAGCTCTCTGGTATCTTCGCTGCATAAATTGGAGTGAAACAGACCCATACAAACAGGTATATCAGCATGCTGAGGATAATGTGTCCAGTCTCGTTGAAGCGCTGAGGAACCTTTCTCCCTTTGAAAGCCAGTGCAAAACAGATGAGTGCAAGAAGTGCAATGTAAGAAAGCATGAAGCCAAAGCCCACCCCAGAGCCCTCCTTACACTGAAAAATGATCTCCATGCTCAGTGTAGATTCCACAGTCTCCACATCAGGAGAATCAAAAATCAGCCAGAAGATGCAGATGAGGACTTGAATGAAAGTGCCACAGCTGATAATTAAGGGAGGCTTGTAAAACTTCTTGATATTGTGCTGACGATATTGAGGAAGGAACGCTACAAAGGTCCGCAGGGCTTTTACCAGGATGCATGAGACAGTGAGCGAGAAGCCTAAGGCATACAGGAATGACCGTGCCCTACATATATGGGTATTGGGCTTGCAAATGAAGAGTAAGACACTGGTATAGCTAAGAGCTAAGCCCAACATAATGAGAACGTATATGTAGCCACCAGCCTGTTTAATGACAGGACTTCTACGATAGAGAAAGTAGACGATGAGGTTAATAAACAAAAGGAGAAATCCTGTTAGAACAAATGTTAGAAAAACAATGGCTCGGGGCTTATTCCACTTCCAAAAGACTTCTGTCTTTGGCTCACAGTATTTCCATCCTTTCAGGGACCATGTTCCATTTTCACATGGGAGACAGTTTTGAAGATCTGTAAGAAAGACAAGAAGTTAGAACTGAGGCAGCAGGTTGCAGTCCAACAGATCAAGCCTCAGACTGGGCAAAGCCTCAGCTTGGAAACAATACGCCCCTGTTTGGGCTGATTTTAGTCGAGTTGCTAGAGAGTTTCCTAAATTAACTACAGTAGTTTGTTAAAGTGTGGGTGAGCTGACTCCACTGACTAGAGGCATATATAGACTTGTATAGAATTGCAACATGTTGTATGGCATCATAAAGGCATATTAGCTTGTGGCTAGAGCATTAGGTTGGGACTCATTATAGCACTGGAATGTTGTACTTTTATAATGTTAAACACCCTATTAAACTGGAAATGGAAACATTAATATATAGGCACATTTTCAGCCGCTCTGTATTTTTGCAGTATCACATTTTAGCATTAACTATGAATTTTATTATGAAATTTCTATAACTCTAGTATTGACTCCTGTTCATAAAACTAGACCAGCATTTCTGGTCACCAGCAAAACCAGCATGTTTTTTTGGATGCTGGTATGCTGATCAACCAGCATGACCATCCTTGGTGACAAGCACCAGACCAGCATAAACCAGCATAGACCATCTTAGATCAGCTAAGCTGTTTTTCCAACAGGGACAGTCGTATCCACATTGGGTAGCTCACATAAAGGTTAGATAAATAAAAGAGCTAAAAGCTAAGGGTAGGGCTATGGTCAAGTATTCTCCCAATCACATTAGCCAGCTAAATTCTTTCTTCACAATAAGGTAAAGGTCAGGAATCACAGGAATAAGGTGGCCAAGGCACAGCTAGTTACGTAGCTAACACACTGAAAAAGTGATTCTAATCCTACTCCTCCATAAACTTATGTAACCACAACAAACCTTCTCTTAAACTATGTATTTGCACTAAAAAACTTTTTACCAAGCGAGCTCACTTTAGGTAGCTCACTAGCTATTTGTCTCCCACACAAGCTGAGGCTTATTAAACCCAAGCTGATGCTTGATCAGCTTGGGGCTTGGTCAGCAGCACTGAAGATAGGGAGGACTCAAGTGAGGATCAGCTATATTCTATTAGACATCGTGAAATATAAATTTGGGCTACAAAAGACTACAGTATCACACTTTGTGTGTGTGTTAATCTAAAAGTCTCTGTTACTCTTGAACAAACCTCAAAAGCACAATAATACATGGTGTCATACTCACTTGTGCTATTAGAGTAGGTGCCCTCCAAACATTCTGTGCAGTTATGGCAACAGGATATTTTAGAGAGTTTTTTTGCAGTTCCAGGGGGACAGGCTTCAGAACAAATGGAAACGGGTGTCTGAAATAATATGTCATAAGTTTATCATTTCATTTTGATAAACATTTGTAGGTCTTGTATGTCTTCCTATGAAATGCTAGTTTAAATATGTAACACTCACAGTATTCTCAGGATTGCTCCATTCAATAGCTTTCATAAGATTGACTTGTTTTTGTCCAAGATTGTAGTTCCCAACAACAACAAACTGTCTCTGTCCACTCGACATGTCTCGGACCCAGTTAATCAGATCGTACCCGTTTATGAAATTTCCTGATGTATTAAAGTAGAAAGTCTGACCATCCAGACTGAAGTTGATATTTTTTAGTTCTTTGAGGAGCTGAAAACAGTAAAAGAAAGGAACAAACAACAGTAAGTAATCAATATCATTCTACACACCAAAATGTCATATGCTATGTCTTCACATACAGCTTACCTTCCATGGTGGAAGGTCTTTCTCCCCTGGACAGGCCGTCTCGTTACAACCTAAAAGCTTCCTCAAGGCATGAGCAATGGACAACACAGCCAGCCTCTCTCCATAGGCTATGTCAATATGCACTGCTTTTGTTAAATAGTCCATGCTTTTCCCCATCTGCTGGTATTCTTCTATGAACTTGTTCTCAGCACCTGGAGGAATAGTCAGCTTTTGCAGATATTCTTTAAAGCCAGGGTTTGGGCCTGTAATGAAACTGAAGCCAAATATATCTCCTACTTTGTTGATTCCCTCCATCTGAGCAATATCTACCGATATTGACCAGGCGTCACTAGCTATCCAAGTGTGTGATATGTTCCTGTTAATCATTTCTGTGAAAAGCTTTTTCACCAGCTCCTCCTTTAAGATAAGTAATATAACTTTGGCTCTGGATTGTTGGATGGTGTCTGCCACTTTTTGGATTCTAGTGTCAATGTCCTTACAATCCAGGTCGTGAGGCAGAGTTTCTTCAAAAGCAACACAAACATTTTCAGTCTCTGCATCCACCAAGAAGCTGTGGAAGGCATCTTCACCATAATCATCATCCCCATGGACCACTCCGACCCAGTCCCACTGAAAGCGAGTCATGAGTTTTGCCAGTGCTTTCGTCTGATGGATATCACTGGGTACGGTTCGTAGGAAGGCAGGGTAGCGCTTTCTATCACTCAAGGCTTCTGCAGACGCTGACGTGCTTATCTGTTTAGATACAATCAACAAGTTTTAGTTTACTTAAGGTGAACAGATCTTAGAGTTCAGTTTAACATTATGCAAGCTCATATGTCATAATGTCAATTGTGTATTGTATTCAGATGTCTATACACATTGTATATGTGTAATATGTTTATTGTGCAAGTCAGAGACCAACATTTTTTATTTAAATTCCAGTCAAAACTTTCATGAAGTGCAAGTTATTCATTTGTCAGTATCAGGAAAAAAGCAGAACATACTTTTTAACAGGAAAACACACAGAAACCTCAACAACTAAACTTTTTTTTTCAATATTTAGTGTGTCCTTTCTTTGCCTTTACTACAGCTTCCATTCTTTTCAGCAGACTTGCTTTCAGTTTTTCCACAAAATCTGCAGGACATTCTTCCACACCTCCAAAATTCAGTCTAAGAAGTTGGTTGCATTTTCTGCTAGTCTCAATCCAAGTAAATCTCACACACATTAATCGATGTTGAGGTCTGGACTCTGGGGTGGACAGTCTACTGTTTTGAGAACGCTTGCAGCTTCTTTGTTTGATTTGTAAGTTTCCTTCTTTGTTGTCCATTTCCTTTTTCTCAGTAAGGACAGCTAGACATCCTTTCAGACTCGTAATGCTGAGTGGAAGAATGGACAGAAACACCTGTGGATTTTTTTCAGATCTAAAGCAAGAGTGGAGCTTCATTTTCTCCCCTTGACTGGAGATTAAATCTCTGACTTTTGCACAGTACAGTATGTATCTTACCTGTGGCACTATGTAGAGGGTCAGAAGCCGTGCCACACTGAGAGAAACCTCAGAATAGCGTGCTCCAATGATTGCTTTTACTTTGGGCCTTTGAATGAACTCACATTGCGGCAGCAGTGTTCCGTTTGCAGCCAGCATATGCTCAGTGCTCTGAATGGCTTTGGAGGCATCAGAGCATGTGTCACAGACGTAGTAGCCAAGGCGCACCCCTGGCAGGAAGCTGGAGTTGTTGATTGTTTCAATGGTGTGAATGGCAGCCAGCATCTGTACAAATGATACCATATTGAATCTAAAAAGAAAGCAGAGTTAAGGTGTTGATATGTCGACTTAAGATTCATTTTACCATGAAAAATTTGTCTAATATGTTTTTGTTGTTTTTCATACATCTTTATCTCTTATGATACAGATATTATAGTTAAAATCTCCACAGTACAGTACAGATAGAAGTAACTCACTCTGAACAATTGTATCTCTCTGGCTGTTCTCGATAATACAGAGTCTCCACTTTAGAATAGCAGGCACTGAGAATTCCTATCTGGACATCTCCATCAGCCCAGGCCCCACATTTGTCCACTTGGTAATCACAACCTGTCCCAAAATCTGCCAACAGCACAATCCCTAAGATTCCCATGTATGTCCAGAGCATCATGTCGCACTAAAAGATTTAGAGATCACGTCCACCACTACAGAAAGAGAATTAGCTAGTGGAGTGATTTAGTTGTCCCACTGGTTTTTATTGGAGACAACAGAAAGAAAAAAAAAAACAATCACGTGCTTCACAATACAATACTTTCAGTTGTGACAATGAGAGCAAATGAGAGGACGGCATTTCAGAGCTGTGAATAAGACTTCCTTGACAGGTCTACTGAGCCAGTTCTGTCTTCATTCTTTGAGAAAAGGAGGAAATAGTGCTAAAAATACCTTTCAGTTAGAAGTCTTGTTCACACACTAGCGCATGGATGTCTCTGCATGTTAGTGTATATTTTCCTGAGGGAGAGGAAGAGAGAGATTTTGAATTTACAGGCCCTTGATTTTACAACTATTTGGGAAAATTGTTTATTAAAAAAATATATATAGGTTAAGCAATCAGTCACCTGCCCCACAGATGGATACAAGGCTTAAATCTTAAAACCAGTATGATTAGATCTAATACAAGGCACATTCAACTCACATCAATGACGACACTATGATCTTATGGGCCCCAGTGGAAAAAAAATTAATGGGTCTCCTCAGAAGAAAAATCAATTAATAAAAAAATGACAGTGTATTTTGCTTGTTAATTTGTAATTAATTGTTGTCTCAAATGATTGATGCTCTTAAGGCATGCCCCTTCTCCTGCTAGCATTTAATGTTAAGTGTGTAGGTTACATTGTCAAAGTGAAATACGGATATATATATGGCAGATGGGTGGCAGGGGGCTTTGTTCACATCTTTATGGATATGTTTATACTGTGTTCTAGTTCAGTCCATCTTTAGTGCAACTGTCTGAGACTGTCCAACTGACCGGCCAGTAAATCTGATGCATTAACCTGGGGGGCAGGCTGGTCACTGGGCCCCAGTGTGACTGCCCTGCTGCCCCCTGAGAGTAGTTACATCACTGACTCACGCTGTGCATCCAAAAGTCTAGATGTTGGACCATTGCTGTGAGGATTTGATTAGGTTCAGACACATAAACATTAGTCAGATCAGGGACTGATGTCTGATAATTAGTTCTGGATCACAAATACCACTCAAACCCCCAGATTTTATATATATATAAATATATATATATATATATATATATATATATATATATATATATATATATATATATCTGAATTTAGCATATTGGGAAAAAAACCAACATAAAATGTGAGCTTTCCAAAAGACATTCACTTAGAAAAAAAAAACATGTAATTTGATATGGGTATTTAAACCTTTGCATATGACTGTATAGTATGTGTGATTTAAAGCTTGAGACAAGTTTCTGTCCAGCCATTAGACTAATGGATTTAGAACTTAAGCTAATTTTGCTTGATCAAGTAAACAATTCTCGAATACATTTAGGCTGCTTGGCCTATGAAACAGTGATCATTATGCTCCCTCAGCACTGTACAGAGTCCCTGATGGTATTAAGCTATTTAATATAGGCAGAGCACACAGTTTACAAAATTCTAAGAAATCAAAGAGCTGTCAAACGTATCCAACAGCTCTTGTCCATTGTGATTTGTTGAGCTGTCTGTAGCTTTAGTCTAGCTGCCACATGGATTAATCCCTGTCCTCTTCTAGTCCTTCTGAACTTGTAGTAGGTTATAAAAGGTTATTCATTATAATTATTACATTATGACAATTAATAATCTCATGAAGCATATTTATCAGTAACTACAATGTTAATATAAAGCTATAAAGTTAAAATGAGCTATAAAGCAAATATACAAGTTATGCCAGTCAGAAAGTCTGGAAACACTTATGGTTTCTCTGAGGTTAAAGGGTTTAAGCGCTCCAAGTTGCAGGAACACTGCTGAGACAGTTGGAGTGGACTATCCTCGAACCACTGCCCTAGTAACAGTGACACGCTTTTGCTCCAATTAATCTGTGCTGATGTGGCTCTCGGAAACTCCTCAAGTCACTCAGTTAATCTTCTCACATCGTCACTGGATCTAAGACTGTAACATCATCGGCACACACTGTGAGCCTTTAGCCAGGGCTCAGTTGCTGTGGTATACAGGAGTTCTGAGAGAACACAACCTTGACACATTCACTCATTTATAGGGGGAATTCTTTTGTAAGATTTACTTTCAGAAGACACGACAGTGTATAAGAAATCAGTAAGAGAGGATGGACAACAACTGAGAAAAAGGCCTTTTTGTTGAACTTATATTTGTGGAAAATGAATTTTTTAAGCAGTGAGAAATAATGAAAACTGTGTTAACTATTATTCAAAGTATTTGTTAATTATACACTTGTCAGAATTTCATGGTATATGAAGTAGGGCTGTGGGTCAAAAATCAATACTTTTATGGTACTGACTGAATCACTTCACTACTACAGAGTGTAGAAAAATTCCCTGCCATTCAGTATTAGTCAGTCTTATCAGTGACAGTCACTAAGCGTGCTTGTTCCACAGTTGTTTGAAAAAGTTCTGATTGGCTGTTTATAATGATAATAAATTAAAAGTGCTGTACATGCTATACATGTCAGAGCTTCTTATTTATTCTGCACGTTATTGTGGTCAGTAAATATTCTTCCAGCACCTCACACTCATTGCTGTTTTAAGCCACACCCACATTTGATTTGTAACTGAAATAAGATACAGAAAAAAGTGGGTTTCAGGATGCTTCTTATAAAAGCTATGAAAAAATTTACATTTACAGGATACTATCTATGATTATTTAAAAGGGTGTGTCTTTGATTGTGTTTCTGAAACACTAAGTAAAACAAATTCTTCAGATAAGAAAAAAAAATAGATGTAAAAAATCCAAAAAACACAACCTCGCCACACCCACTGAACATTTTTCAACAACTTCAACAACTACTTATCAGATGAAGAGTAGAACTGGCTCGGGGCCTGATAACATTCAAACTAGTCACACATGAAAGTTAGGAAATGTACAGATCAAAGGTTTGATTCAACAATTGAATTCACAAGTCAAGTTCATGATTCTCCTTTTATATTAGAATGTAAGTAGTTTGCAATTATAGAAGTGGCAGAGACATTTAGACACAATATGTATACATATTAGATAACAATGAACAACAATAACAACAAAGTGACAGAACATGTATATTTACAAATGTACATATGTATTTATACATATCTGCTGTTGGAACAAAACATCATACATCATATCATTATACAAGCCAATGGAACCAGACTTCTTTCCAAGTCATTTTGGGCCATTTCTTTTGGTCCATTCATCATTAAATTTACACACAATATAAAGGGCAACCGACATTTTTTTTAATTATGCCAAAAACACACACACACACACACACACACACACACACACACACATACATATATATATATATATATATATATATATATATATATATATATATATATATATATATATATATGTGTATATATTTACATGTTCTCCCCGTGTTTACGTGGGTAATTGGACACTAAATTGTCCCTAGATGTGTGTCTGCCTTGTGATGGACTGATGACCTGTGCAGGATGTTTCTTGCAGGCCGACTCAATGACTGCTGGTATAGGCTTCAGCACCCCCCGCAACCCAGAAGGATAAGCGGCTTAGATAATGTGTGTATGTGTGTTTATTAATACAAAAAATATATTACATAAAGTGCACATATCCATTACCTTAACAGTTTTTTATGCTTAGCTTCGCTTGCCAAAAATATTTAAAGCCAATATTCTTTGACTTTGTTGCTTATAGAGTCACTGAGGTCAAACAATACATTAGTGAAGCACAGACTAAACTCAGAGTCAATTTAATCATAAATCTGCATAAATCTTTCCAGAGCTTTTTTGCAAGGGTACAATGTCAAAACAAGGCAAGTGACATCAATATTCTTTTAAATCGTACAAGTTACTGGTTCACTGAGTAACATCTTTGTATGGTTTTACTGAACATTTTATCCAATCAAGATTTACAAGGCACCTCCAGTACTTTTGTCTTTTTATTATATTTTGTTTATTTAAGTCATACTGTACAACCAACAACGACAATAATATCACATATAAAAAGAAAAACTGAGCACATTAATTCAGCAGCACAAGTGCAAGAGCAATGAGACTCTCAAATTAAATAAAATTAATAAATACATACAAAAATGTCAAAAAAAAGGGGCGAAGTGGAAAAACAGAAGTGGGGTGGTAATATATTGTGTACACCGGTCAGCTATTACATTATGTCCTTGTTGCTACGCTCATTGTCCATTTTATCAGCTCCTTAAAAACTCCAGCAGCACTGCTGTGTCTGATCCACTCAGAGCAGCACAACACACACTAACACACCACCACCACGTCAGTGTTACTGCAGTGCTGAGAATGATCCACCAACCAAATAGTACCTGCTACAAAGTGCACCTATGTAGATAAAATGGACAATGAGCGTAGAAACAAGGAGGTGGTCATAATGTTATGCCTGATCGGTGTAAATAGTATATATAGGTGATATATCGTATGTCATATTTCTTCATAAATGAAAGAAGCTTACAGCTAATTTTACTCTGTATTAAAGACTGTACAAACACACCATATTCCTCTATAGAGCCCAGTAACTATAGAGAGGTAGAGGCCTCTCCAGCACTGTCCTCTCCTCAGCACCGTGAACGCGCACAGGGTGACGCGAAGTGCGTCAGCATGCCGGAAGCGCGCGTTAGACAACACGGCGAGCAGTAACAGCAGATTCGTCACTTCATGATGCTCTTCACCAGGGTTTTTACAGTTTTGACAGCTGTAGCGGCTCTGCAGACCTGCCGACGAGAAAAACACTGGGTCTCCTTCCGATAAACGCTCAGGTATTTGTGTGACGCTCGCAGCATTTTTCGTAGTCTGGGCTGTTTCGCTAGCTGAGCTGCGCTGAGCTGGGCTAGTGCTGTGGGGCTGTAGGGCTGCTGAACTTCAGCTGCTGAAATATTAAACGGAGCTGCAGGTGCTTTAGAGTCTGACTGCTGTTCCTCTACAATAGCAGTGCTGTAGCCAGTTCACTCTGCATCTGCTGCATGAAGGGCTGTGTGTCACACCTGCTCTGTGACGAAGAAGAAGCAGCTTCTTATTCGCCACCTTCATGTCCGAATTTCCCCGTTCCACCTTAAAAAGCGGCAGCAGTTACATTGGGGCGCCTCAGGTCATATAGGAATAGGAAGCCAACTTCATCTCGTTGCTCTGTGAGCTCTGTAAGAGTTAACCCGGAGCTTCCGGATCCTCCTCGGTTCTGCTGTGGCCTATAGACCCTGGTGTTTGTGAACTGTATTATGTAAGATATTAATGCACTCTGCTTTTCATATCTGATATCATTATCAGTTGGTCATTATTCATTCCGTCATCTTACACCCTGGAGAACAGAGTCCATGCTTGTGTGGTGTTGAGCTCGTGCATCTGGGCCATGTTTACATGCTTGTGTACTGTATGACAGAGTGCACTATTAAGAGTCTCATAATGTGGGGTTAGATGCATTAGCTTAAAGGGGAATGCCAGCATTTTTCAGAATTTCTGCATAATTAAATTATTAAGATGTAAACAAAGTGTTGTAGGTTGTTTTTATGTGAAATGCACCATTCTAGAGAAACTTACCCAGACAGAATTGTTCACAATGGTGGTGATAGGAACCAGACTTCCGAATGCCTCTAAAAGCTACTCACAGAAAGCTGTTACAGGAAATAGTTGTAAATACATTATTGCATTAGTGCATCATCTGCAATCTGCATTATCTATATATGACTCAGATAATGCAGATTGCAGATGATATATTTATATATATATATAGAGAGAGAGAGAGAGAGATTTTAGAAAAAAAATACAACATTTGCTCAATCCTTCTAGCACAGTTAATCAAGTTTTGTCAAATTATTTAGTGACAAACATCAGTTTAAACGTCTTGAAACTTGATCTTAATATCAAAAGTGGCAGGTCTAAATGAGGGTAGAGGTTTTCTACTTTTTTTTTTAGCTTGTTTTTGCTAAAGTCATAACATGAATATAAACCAGACTCTTTCACCACGTTCACCTGCAGACCAGGGCACGAAAACGACTTGTTTAACCATAAATCTGTTTGAACGTATTTGTATCGGTTACTTCTTGTCTTTGTGTAGTAAAATATAAAGCAAATAAAATCATGAAAATGGTCATATGCCAGAATAAACCAACCAAGTTAAAAGGATTGGATCACTGGAAAATCAGACTTGCGCAGATTTGTTCCTTAGCATAAATGTAATCGATCAGCCAAGACATGTTCAGTTTTACGCCGGAGCTATGGGTCTAAGATAAAGGAAGTCTGTATCACCAAAAAAAGGTGAAGTAGACTTCAATTACTTTTTAGCCACATTAGTCTACTATCTCCTACACTGAAAAGGCGAACTTGAGACGCCAAACATGTCTTGGCTGATTAAGTCTGTTGGTGGTAAGGGGAGAACCTGTTCCTGTCATGATTTGTCAGTGAACCTTTCTTTTAACAAATAAATCTGAACAGAAATAAAAAGGAATACATAATATACAAATATACAATGCTACCCTAATTCCATGAAATGTAGTGGAGGAAAGGATACGGTGTGAACTGATGGTTGTCCATTATCTGTTTTATGATATTTCATAAGGTGCAGAGGCTAGATTACAGTAAGAACCTAACCTAGTGGTTCCCAACCTTGGTCCTGGAGTACCCCTGCCCTGGACATTTTAGGCTTTTTCCTTGCTCCCAACACACCTGATTCAACGTATCAGCTAATTAACAGGCCTTTCCTGAGCTGAAGTGTGTGTGTTAAAGCAGGAAAACACAGAAATTGTGCAGGGCAGGGAGTATCCCAGGTCCAGGGTAGGGAACCTGTGATCTAGGCTATGCTACTGGATTACAGTTAGGAAGGCTCTCCTGAGATACGGTCTGTAAGGGTCGAAGGCTGGGTTTGGTGCAGTTGGTTAGCATGTGGTTTGGCATGTCAGGTGGCTGAGAGACGTCTGCATCCAAAACTGACCTGCATGTACAGTAATGGCGCCCTCTTTTGACTGATAGAAGCATTCCAACCTGCTGTAGAACTAAACAGGAAAACAAGCAGCACCAAATAAATACATACTCTCCTGTTAAATCCTACAGGGCAAATAGTCATTAGATTAGCTGAGGTTTAGAGTTTGATACAAGTTTAAAACTCAATTGCTGTGTCCTTGGAAGCTGCGGTTTTAATTAAGGCAGTATTATTTGATTAAAAACACTTAAATGAATAGTGTCCGGTTGGTGGTGTTCATTTCAATGAGTAGTGTTCATTTCTGAGTGGTAGACTGGTAGATTTTAATTGATCATTTTTAGGAGACACAGGCACTAAATGTAACACAAATAAAAAGAATATTGTACACATATACCCAGTGATGTACACAGACTTTGGAAAGAGTACACGGGCAGAGGGGTGGACTGGGATTTTCTGAGAAAAGGAGATTTAACAACTGATTTCTACTAGACCTGTGTAAAATTTACTATTGTTATTGAATTTTAACATTTATTAAAGCAATAAGCTATTAGAGGTCACGTGTTACCCATACCAGGATAAAGACCTCTGTTTCAGGTTGTGCCTCATAAGACCCCTTAACTCACTACAGTGCATGCTTACTGCTTTTTATAAAACAATAACTTTGCACAATATGGTAAAATATAGAGGTGTTTTATGTGTGTGTGTGTGTGTGTGTGTATAAATATATATATATATATACACATTACAGGAGCTTTATGACACCCCATTCTAAATCCATAGGCATTAAAATGGAGATGGTCTCCCCTTTGCAGCTCTAACAGCTTCCGCTCTTCTGGGAAGCTTTCTACAAGATTTTGAAGTGTGTCTGTGGGAATTTTTGCCCATTCGTCCAGAAGAGCATTTATGAGGTCAGGCACTGATGTTGGACGAGAGGGCCTGGCTCGCAATCTCCATTCTAGTTCATCCTAAAGGTGTTTGATGGGGTTGAGGTCAGGGCTCTGTGAGGGCCAGTCGAGTTCTTTTACACCAAACTCATCCAGCCATGCCTTTATGGACCTTGCTTTGTGCACTGAGGCTCAGTCATGTTAGAACAGAAAAGGTTCTTCCCCAAACTGTTCCCACAAAGTTGAAATTGTATAATTGCCCAAAATGTCTTGGTCTGCTGAAGCATTAAGATTTCCCTTCACTGGAACTAAGGGGCCTAGACCAACCCCTGAAAAACAACCCCATAGCATCATCCCTCCTCCAGCAAACTTTACAGTTGGCACAATGCAGTCAGGCAGGTAACGTTCTCCTGGCATTCACCAAACCCAGACTCATTCATCATGCTGCCAGATAGAGAAGCGTGATTTGTTACTCCACAGAATAAGTTTCCACTGCTCCGGTCCAGTGGCAGCGCTTTCACCACTCCATCCAACACTTGGCATTGTGCATTTTCTTAGGCTTACGTGTAGCTGTTCAGCTGTGGAAACCGTTTCTTGAAGCTCCTAACGTGCAGTTCTTTTGCTGATGTTGCTTCCAGAGGCAATTTGGAACTTTTTAGTGAGTGATTCAACAGAGGATAGACACTGTGACACTTCAGCACTTGCAGGTCCCCCTCTGTGTGTTTTTCGTGGGTTCTACCGCTTTGTGGCTGAGCTGTTGTTGCTTCTAGGTGCTTCAATTTCACAATAATAGCACTTACAGTTGACAGGGGCAGATCTAGCAGGACAGAAATTTCACAAACTGACTTGTGGCAGGGGTGGCATCGTATGACAGAGCCATAAAGTGTTTAAAGTCACTGAGCTCATTAGTACGACCCTCTACTGCCAGTCCCAATACTTCTGTCTATATAGTGTCCATATAGTCTTTTGTTTCAGTTGATCTGATTCTGATATTACTTGAAGGTACATCCAGAATACCAGCAGTTTAGCTGCGTATCAGGTTGACTCATGCTCATTCTGACAGAGCAGTCACATTTAATTTAACGCTCAGCTGCGCAACAAACCCCTGAAGTTACTGGTTTAGCTGGACTTGTATAATACTGTGACTGAGTAACTATTAAGCTAAGGATGGAACAGTAGCCCCAGATGTATTAAAGGGCCTATATCCTATATTTTTTGTTTTTAAAATTTTGTTTCTGCTGTCCGCTTACAAAGTTATTACTGTTTTGTGTACCAAAAACAGCGGTACTTAATTTTTCTGTGGCTTTTTTGTAACTCCTCTTCATCCATTACAATTAAACAGGCTGTTTTTGCGACTATGCCTTTAAGATTATTATGTAAGTGAGCTCTGTTTTGACTGTCCTTTACTGTACCTCATAAAAAAAAATTGGGCAGTTTTTGCATTTTATTTTATTCACTGTATGGACTGGAGGGACTGAACAGTATGCTTTGAAACTTTAAAACATTTAACATGCTACCTCTAACTCTTTTACTTAAAATAAGCATGGAAAAATAGATTTTCCTTAATATGGTCCCTTTAAGAGGTGATCCACCAATTTACTATATAACTGGAGCCCATCAACAAATTGCCTTGCTCAGATGATGTGTTGTCTTGCCAAATTTGTGTGTACCAAAGTTATGAAGGCATTTCAGTTTTAATTTTTAAGAAATTGTTGCGGAGTTTTCTTTGTTTGACTTTATAGGTAAATGAGGGGAAATTGTTTTTGAAGCTGACCAGTGTGACACGGTGGCGCAACAACATCTGTCCACAACGCTTTCTGCAAATTTCCCATAATTACTTGGATTGTGCTTTTCAGTACATGATATTGTGGTGGGGTTTATTGTGAGCATAACATTACTGAGTCTTCACTTCTAACTCTTTGCATGCTGTAATACTTTTGGTGTGATTGTTGAATTTCTCTGTTCAACACTGAAATATGGTGATTGCATAACATCCTCTAATTTGGGCAAACTGCTGCTTTTAAACATGATAATTGCTCCCCATACAGTCATACAGTCATACAGGTGCAGCTGTCATCTAACCACCAACCTGAAGCGATCTAAATATAGTTACATTCATTATTTATTTATTTATCATTTTATTTTCAGCTGTGAGTCGGTGCATCAGCAGTTTTGCTTTATTGAAGAAGTTCACTGACAAATAACAGCATATCTAATCACATTTTACCCAGAGGAGTCATTTTTACCAAGATACACCTAGAATTGTGATATTTTAAAAGAATTATAAGGAGATGTTGGAGTGAGTGCCAATTTAAGGATTTTCTTCAAGGCGAAGGATATCAGTTTTGCCTGGAATCGGGATTAATGTGATAGTGAGATTAGCACATTTAGATTAGTTGTCTTTTTATGGATTGATGATGAAACACATCTACATGGATGAGCCTTACTAAAAACTATTTCTGAAGCTGTTGGAGTCTTGTGATTACTCATGGTTTGAATAAAACTCTGTGACTTGTATCCAGAGCGCTAATAAATGTGATTTGACAAAGCAGCAGATATTGTTCAGGCCTAGCCAAAGTAAACAGGCTGCTTGGCACACATTGCGAGGTCTAAATACACAATTTAGTGCTCAGGGCTTACGTAACAGGTGCGCTTGGCCACCTAAATCCTTTCAGTAACTAGGATTCTGTTTATATGCTACTGTGTCGGCCGGGCGGTACTTGCTTTCTTAATGGCTTGTTTTTAAATGATAGTTCTGTGGCTGATACAGTCTGTTAGAATGCAGTCTTACATCTCTCATCTGTTGTTTACACTGTGAGGTGGAATGTCTTTTAGAAAATTTCTGGTTTGGGCTACTATTTTTGCAGAATAGAAAATAAAAAGTTTGGTATTCTCAAACTTATTAAAGGTACGATTCACTTTCCAGTCCATATGTGGAAACTAAGCTGCAAAACAGCCAATTTTAAATACACTGTTTTGCAAAAACCAATACATTTACATACATTTTTACATACGTCTATTCAGCCTACCGCAGGTTAGCCCCACCCTTTCATGTTGAAATTATGAGATGTGTTTTAGCCCAGGCTGCTTTTGAATGATGCCTAATACAGGGCAGCCAATCAGAACAGAGGTTATTTGCTTATTGTTGCTGTCGCAACAAAAACTCATATCTTCAGAATGGTAACTTTACAGGAAATAATATTCTCAACTTTGAATGGAAGTTAATTGTTGTTGTTTTTTTTTTTTTTTTCCAAGTCACTTTTGGAGCATTTCTATCGATCCATTCATCATGTGATTCATAGTACAGTGTAAAGTACTGGATTGTACAATTCTTAAAAAAAAATAGAAAATAGAGATACAGTGTCTTGTTCTGACAGAATATACATATATATATATATATATAGAAGTCTTAAAGGCAGAGCCTGTTTTGTAGTTCTAAGGGATAAAGAAATGTTGAAAAATCGTCATATAAAAATAAATTTGAACTTTCTTGGTTCATCAAGCACACATACGAGAAAAAAAAGCATTGAGGAAATGGGCCCTTTAATGTCAATATTTTGGTTAGTTCATTCATATGTTCATGTTTCTTTGTCATGATAGGCCCAGTTGCTAACTCACATAGACAATTATATAATTAAAACTTACCAGCTTAAAACTTCCCTCTGTCATATCACTCCCTGTGCAAATCCCAGAAAAGACAGCCAATCAATAGGTACGCTCTGGTTCACATCATTGCCTAAAACTGACTGCTGTCAAAAGGGATATTGTGTGGTACTTTGCACAATGCGCAGACACAGAGCCAAATTAGAACTAAATCCAGGGCAATGCCAGTGAATAGGCTTAGAGTTCCACACCCCTCAGGAATTTCTCTCCGTAATGAGAGAGCGAGAGTTGTCATTTTGCTTCGGGCCTCTGTAGTCTTCACTTAGTTAATGTACAGTTAAGCTACTTCACTTTAGTGAATAGCTCTTGCCTAATTTAACTTCCTTGGGCATGTAGCATTCCCCTTGTATCCTCTAATTTTATTTATTATTTTTTTTATTTACTTTGGACATTTTCCATACTTATTGGCGGGTAAGTAAAATGTATCAGTGTAAGAGGAAAGGCATCCCAGTGAGCCATAAATAGCTCCTTCGCTGTGACTGATCACAGAGCTTATTAGAAGAGGCCAGGGAGATCGGAGCGTACCTTCCCCCCGTGCTGTATTTCAGTTTGGAGTTTACTTTGCGAAATCTTTTGCAATGCCAGTTGTGTCTGCCTCCATGGAGCGGCACCAGCACAGTGAGTTTCAGCATGGTTTTGGTGGTGTCGGGGAGTTTCAGGGGTGTATGAAACTGGTTGCACTGTTTCCTGTACTTGTTTTTGTTTTTTAGAAGACTTTCTCACTTAGTCTCACTTAATGTTCAGGACAATTCAGAACATTTTGTCTCACTATTTGTGCTGTTTTCTATTTGTTGCTCACTTGTTGTCTCATTTTCATTGTCAAATTAGGCTTTTTTAAGAGGTGTGGCATGGTGTAGTATTATTTTATGGCCCATAGTTGTATGTCAGGTCCTCACAATGGATATGAAGTTATTCTGAGGCTTCTAGTTGATTAAAAAAACACTATTGTGTGTGTTCCTCTAGTGCAGCTATTGTTGAAATCATGTGGGTTGAGTGACTAAGGATTATTATTTGTCTTTCTCCTCTTTGGAGATATGAAAGGACTTAAAGCTGTTTGTTATGAACCAGGCCTCGCTTTTATCTTTTATCCTTTATCCATTACAAAGATGCCTTTAATCCCCTAGAGCATTTATTATTGCCTACATCAAAATGTTTTAATATATGTAAAGCCTGACTTATACTTATCCATTTCAGATGGCCCTTTGAGACCATGTAACAAAACAGAATTGTTTTTTATGCAGCTGCAAAGGACACATTTATTTGAAAATGAACTGAAAAGGCAGTATATAGTGTGAATATTAGCCTTTTTTCTCAAATGTAGTCTGATGTTTAGTACAATAAATTGAACATATTTTCTTCTTTGTGACTGAAGCATGTTTCACTTTTCATTCACACTCAGCCCAAGTAAAGAGTTTGTCTCGCTCTGTGTTTCTGTGCTTAGGTGCGGAGGGGGAGATGACTAAAGAGGAAGTGCTGAGGGAGTCTTCAGAAGGAGAAGCTGTGCTGGACAGGTACAGGGTCCTGTCCCACACCACTGCTCGGCCAGTTATTCACCAGGTGGCATCAGCACCCATGCCCACTGACTCTGGTAAGGATTTGAAGCATGCAGTAGATAGAGGGCAAAGAGCGTCATGTGTAGGATGGTTATCAGTAGTGATTCATCATTTTACCCTTTAAGCCCTAATTATTCAATCCTATACTTCAGTTTAATTTAATTCAAATAAGTTGTCTCACTGAATACGGATCAACGAGCTTGCCTGGACTCGCTTGAACAATCGATTATGATTTGATATAACCAAGGCTTATTGATTCCTGCTAATTTGTGCAGACTTGAGTTCTGCAATGTTTGAACACCAGCAGTTTTCTTTAGATGTGAAGAACTTGTAAAACTGTTTGGCAGGACTTTAGATATCCAGATTGGTGTCTAGTCAAATCGATTAGGGTGTCACTATCAATTATATTAGTTACAAGTAATCTTTATAAATTGTATACACATAGAGTACTGCAGTTCATACTGTTACCTGCTGTTATATGTAGTTAATATTTCTGTGATTCTGTTGTATCAACCCATATTTAGTAGTCCCCCTTTCTGCAAATACCCACTGTGCTACTGTATTTTGTTTATTGTACGTATTTCACCTGTGTTTTGTTCACGTTGTTCGCCTTTGCTCATCTGCCTGTCTACATCTACATCTACATCTATCTACCTAACTTGTTTCTATACATTTTACTTGTTTTAAAATGAATTTAAATAACAAATAAGTTAAGAAGTTATACAAATAGTTAAACAATAATATTTACAATATAATGATTATAGTACAGCATAAAGAGGAATATTTCCAGTGTCAAGAAAAATTAGATATATCAACTAAGTTTAAGACCGTTTCACTTGCCAAGACATCATATTTTCAGTGCATCTGCTTATTTACCTGTCTGTCTGTCTATCTAGCCATCCTTCTTATCTATCAAAGCTTCCAAAATGCTTAACTGGAAAGAAGATAAACAACAATTAAAACATCTTTAAAAATAAAAAAGACTATAAAATGTATAAAAAGTGTTGTGTCAGCCAGGCTTTTTTTCTGAAAAAAATATATATACAGTATAGTCATGCAAATTGACAGCTAATCAGTACCAATAAGATTGAGAGGATGCATATTTAATCATTTTTTTTTTTCAGATTTAAGTGAGTAACAGCCTGAAGATGAAATGAAATGTTTCTTTTCCATTGCAGACTTCTCCTTCTTTGACCCCGGTGACCCACAGTGTAGGGAGGTTCTGCTTGACCCTCAGACCACAGTTTCTGAGCTGTTCGCTGTGCTCAGGCAGTGGGTTCCCCAAGTCCAGAAGAATATCAGTCTCATAGGTAACGAGGTGAGTGTTTAGCTCTTCTCTCTTGCAGCTGTTGAAGAGATACACACAGGATTCTGTGCCTAATACTCTGGAGATTGAAAACTGATCCTTTGCGCTGTGTGGTGCGTGTGTGTCTGTGTGTGTGTGTGTAAGTGTATGTTTGTGGGTGTATGTTAGTGTGTAGGTGTAAGATCTCTTTGTGGTTGGTGCTTGCTGTAACATTATATTTGTGTTTATTTATGTGCTTCATTTTTTAGATTCTGAAGAGAGGCTGTGGGGTCAATGACAGAGATGGGCTTACTGACATGAGCCTGCTCCATTACTGCTGCAAAGCTGGTGCACCTGGCATTGGTGAGTAGAGCACATACTCAGTGTGCTACAAAAAATGTGTTTTATTTTTGATTTTTTTGTGTGTGCTCTTTATATCTAAACCAGTAGTTTTTATTTTCCCTTCCACCCAAATTTAGTCAAACAGCCAGGACATGTTTGGTGTCCAGAGGTTGCTTCAGTAGTTTTGGACTTCAGCTACGAGGCTGATTATCACAAACTTGCCTCAAACTGTGTCAAGTTGTTAAAAAATCTCAGACTTGCTTATTTGCTTTCTGACATTATATGACATACGGTTATCTATAAAACATAGACAAAAGTACAGTACAGCATTGAGGCTTCAAGATTATAGCTATGCTATACACTTTTGTCCCTTTTGGCAAGTATGTAATGATTTAGACATGCTGTTTGCATGATGATATTGTCCTGCACCAGTAACAGAATCCTCTTATCTCGGTGGTCAATAACCGTGGTAAACAATCAAAAAACCTTTACTTTTTTAGTTCCACAATTTTTGCAAGGTAATTTTATGAGGGTTCCTAGCACTGAAGTGGCTGCGGAGGTAATCACAGTAATAGATTGTGAGTTAAGGCTTAGTCTTTGTCGAGTAAAAGAACATAATAATAGCACAGTTACACTACTTGGCCACAAAACTGTTACTAATCTAGTAAGAAAGAACAGAATTGTGAACGACACACAGACTTTACCGTCTGAGGCTGTTTTGTCTGTGGCCACTTAGCCTCAGGCCTTTTTGTCTGAAATCGTTTTCAGCTGATGGACAGCTGCACAAGATTTGAGACATGCCAATGTTTGGAACCTAATGCTGTGGTCATAAGATGTTCTAAAACATACAGAATAAGATAGGAAGCTTTTTGTACATGTATAACATCTGCCTACCACAGAGTGCCCAAGGGCCCTGAGCATGTTCACCACCTTAGTTTTTTAGGAAACAGTCTCATCAATGTTAGGTACAATAAATGTGATATTATTGTAAACACTACCAAGCATGTTTAAAGCCCAATCCCATTTCTTATTTTTTACCCCTACCCCTTGTTTCACCTTTCATCTAGTGTCATCTTGCCCCTTGGAACTGAGTTACAACGAGTAGTGGTTGAAATCTTCCCGTACAAAATGGGACCCATCAAATAAAAAAGAACCGTACTTCATTAACAGACTACTAGCGCTGCTCTGTAGGCGACTCTACTGCCAGTCTACAGTGATAGCAGAGGAGGGTAAAGTTCAGCAACCTCACTGCTGGGCTTTAGTTACATTTAGGGCATCATATGCCTTCAAAGAGGGGGGGGATGCAATAATTATTTATTATTACCCACCCCTAATTCTTCAGTGATATGAAGCTGAAGTCAGCTATTCACCAGCTTCTAATTCAGATTTTCCCGTTCCACCTTAAATGGAGCAGCAGTGACACCCTTGGCACTTCAGGCGTCAATACTGCTAGATTATTTCAGGTGAAACGGGAAAGTTAGCTAGCTAGCTACCGAGACATCAGCGTACTACTAGTGATTTTTAATGCTAATCATGAAGAAAAGGACTATAATACATTGAAACCACATTAAACTAAGACAATCCAATGGTTATTGTGATTTTTTTAACAGAGAATACTCACCTTGTGGGTTTCTTTGGTCACTTGCGCAGCCATCTTGCTGTTTTTTCTTTTTTTTTTTCTTCCTTTTGGAGGGCCATGTAGCCCTAACACTTCACCCTACCCCTCTATCTCAACAAAAAATCAGGGACACCCCATCTCTAGACGTGAACGCGCAAACGGAGGGGTAAGGGCTAAGTGTTAGGGGCATGGTGTAAAATGGGATTGGGCCTTAAAGTTCAGTTATGTTCATCTATGGGAAATACTGCTGTCCTCCTATGGTTTCTGTGAAATGAATCAATTAATGAATGATGATATGACTTTTACCATGACTGGGCTGTTACAATGGTACGACAATTAACTGTCATGATGGAACAGGCCTATGGTGACATATAAACCTCCATTGCTTGTTAACTATATTAGCCTTGTAGCTCTAGTGCAAAATGAAAGAAGCAAACTTCAGACACCAAAGCTGTTTAGGCAGATCAAATACGTTTAGGATACTGGGAAATTTCTTCAACAGGCTACTTTTTAAGACCAAACATGCTACTGCTGTCATGCACAAGACATGTTGTTTTTAAACTTTAATAACTTTACAACCGATCAACACACTAAGGCTGAATAAGTTGGTGATATAATTTAGAGTTTTGTGACCAGTATTGCAGTTTAGATTTAAATGCATTTATATTCTATTAATTAAGCTCAAGGCCTTTTTCTCACCACGAAGTTCAGCACATCCATTTTTTTGGGACTTGAGACTTGAACGCTAAATGTAGGGTCATGTCAGCCTGCCAGTTCACAAGCTCTGTGTTATTAAGTTAAATTTCCCTGGTTAAGACTTGTAGAATAGTGTAGGATATAATTAAAACTACAGTTCTTGCGATTTGAAAATTGCAATTGATCTTGCATTTAATCCATCACTGTGCATCATACATCAAATCCCCGGCCCAGTCTGCACTACATAAACTCTATGTTGAATGTTTTTGTTAAATAACAGGCACATCTGATAAGAGGAGTTTGTGCTGAATTAGACTACATAGAGCACTTGATAATAATATATCACCAAGTTGCACCCCAAAATATTAAGATATACCCTGTTTAGTCTTTAGTCTTAAAGGGTTAAGAGCTTGCTGGACCTCTTACTGCCACCAGCTCCAGGTCTTTGAAAGGGCTCAGTTGTGTACATGGCCTGTATGTGTAGGTGATGCAGAGAATGCGGCGAGCTTTGCCCGGAAGCTCTTATCTCTGGGAGCCGAGCCGTCCCTGCGCAGCCGCTGGACCAACATGAACGCCCTGCACTATGCTGCATACTTCGATGTTCCACCTCTCATCCGCGTTGTGCTGCAGGCGAGCCAGCCAGGAGGTGAGGGAGTGTTACAGAGCAGCAATAATGACCAAATTCTGTCGCCAAAAATTACTCTTACAAACAAAAGAGGAACTCTGTAATGTTTTTTGTGTTGTTTGTTGTGTTTCAGAAGTGGACGCCACCTGCAGCGATTTCGACTTTGGCACTGCCCTGCACATTGCTGCCTCTAACCTCTGCACCTCTGCAGTCCGCTGCCTGCTGGAGCTCGGAGCCAATCCTGCATTCAGGGTACACACAGATACACATCCTCTAAAAAGGAGCTGCCCGGATTTAACCGAGCACCATGCACATTTTCATACATAGTCTGTTGGAACAAAACTTTGTATATCCAAAAATGTTATTTTACAGGATGAGGAAAAAAAAAAAACACTCTTAACTTTTAATGAAAGTGTAACTAGATTTTGAACCATTTCTATTGGTTTAATTGTCATGACACTTTGACACAGTGTAAAAGGGCAGCTGGTGTTTTCAAATTATATAGAAATAAATAAAAAAAAGAAAAACAACAAAACAAAAAAAACTACACAAATGGACATACCATGTTACAATGAGACGTTTGGTTTCTCACTACTCGCGGATGCCCCCAGCAATCTTAATGATTTATTAAATTCGACCACCAGCTCACTTGATTTAATTAAATTAAATCGGGACTGATTAGTTTAATAAATTAATAAACAAATAAGTTAAAAAACTTCTTATGTTAATACAGGTTTGTTTTGACAGTAGCCTTTACTGCTTCCCACATTTTATTTATGACAGTGAAAATAGTCATCATATACAAAACATTTTTACAGGTTAGTTAAGGACAGAGTAGTTTTTGAACTGTGCATATTTGCGCTTTGTGATTGAATTTATAGCAGAGTGGTTAAGTCAATCCCTCTGCATTCCCACCTATGTAATTAAGTCAGTTTGCCCACATATATGGTAATTAGATCCATTGTCATCACTGTAACCCATATTGCGGTTACTGTAAAAATATGATGAATATTGCAGCCCTAGGTATAGCATAAATATACATTCTCTGTCCCAAATAAGCATCATATTGTAAGCATTCTTGGAATTGTATATTATGCTCCATTCCTGATACATGATGCAGTAAGAACCCAGCATGCAGTATTTTTACCTAAGGCACCAAGTGCACCGGCTTTATCCAAATACCCTCTTTCATATTTAGATTTCTGGGGTAGCAGTGATGGTATTAAGAGAACCCACACGCTATCGGACTCTTTAAAGATGGCCCGCATGCACACACACACGGCTGGGTTTTCTTTCTCGCTTTCAGCCTGCTCCCACAGGCATGAAGTTAAATTAGCCATGCTCATTTCTTTTCCTAAACTCATTTTACACTCGCAAAGCGCTACAGCCAGGGGTCCTGAGCCGCTCAAACAGATGATGCCACAGTCTCTGGATGGTAATTATTGGTATTATTTACCCTTTTGTAAAACGCAAACCCTGTATTCATGGATGCCTTCAAGCAGAGAGATGAAACGTCAGGTTTTTCCGTGCCATGTCATGGTGGGCGGTTTGCTCTGTTAGCACTATTGTCCGAAAGCCAAGTTGTGCTACGGCTGCTGAAAGCAGGCTAGTTCCTCACTCAGACAAACTCCTAAATCATGTTTGTATGTGACATAAGTCTTCTGACTCTCCTTGCCACCGTCCATCATCATCAGCGAGGGGAGGTTTTTGATCGCGGTGTCGGACTGAGGACGTAAAGTGCATATCCTGTCACTTAGACATGTGGCTCAGTAGAGGTGACAGTGTAAATAAACAAACACAAAAGTGAAGCAACAGTTTCTTAGTCAAATAGATTAAAATAACAGTGGACGGTTTGGCCACAAATTTATATCATGGTGCAATTACAATTTTGGACAGTTTTGGTTTATATCACAGTAAAGTGTTAAGTATTTAAATTGAAACATACTTTTAATTAAAACGTTTTTGATGCTTGAACTGCTGTTTGTGAGATTGTTTTGTTAAAATTGAAAGATGTTGCATTTCTGAGTTAGGAGATTCGTTGGGTCAGATTTTGCAAAATCAACATTACACTGGTGAAGACTTCATGACTATAGTAGATGATTCACAAACATCCTCAGAAGACACGTCCTTTCTCTGAGTTCTCTTCGAATATGTACCTGCAAAGGGTGCTCAGGAAAGGGGTCTGAAACACAACCAATGTTACAAAATGCTCTTCCATACATTGCGTGCATTTCTAAGAGAAAGGCCTCTAAATTCCCCAAATATATGAAGTTTAGCTTTAAGAAAATCTGTTTTTCTAAATTAACTGGCTTCTGGTTCTGAAATGTGCCATCAGTTTTAATAAGAACCATATTCAACAGTTGAAGTAAATTTAAAATACTTTTATTGTGCAAAATGCTTAAAAAACATAACAGGATATATAGAAAATGATGTGGTATTTATATAGTCGTATGCAAAAGTTTGAACACCCTGGTCAAATTACATATTTTGATGATTTGAAGTGAAAGTAAGTTACAAACAATGTTAAGTATTGTTAAATCAAATCCTCTATGGAAAAAAAACAAACCTTAAATATGACCCTTTTCTAGAGGTGGGTAATCCAGGTCCAAAAAGTAAAAACCCTCCCCAGGATTTTGTTCCCACTGCCTGAACACCTTTGCTGCGGGTTTAAGCAAATTAGAGAAGTCAAGCAGTTGGAACAAAATCCAGGGTTTTTACTTTTTGGACCTGGATTACCCACCTCTACCCTTTTCTGCAAATTGTAGTGCACAATTTTTGAGTTTAACATATTGAAAGAAAAATAAAACAAAATGTGCCATACCTTTTGCACTGGCTACATGTTATGTTTTCTTTTTCCTCCCCAATTAGTTGAATTCAGCAATTAAACAGTAATTGTGTATTAAAATGCACAGAAGTGTGTTCTCTGTAGAAGACATGAGCAGGGGTGCCCAAATTTTGCTTGCAACTGTAGGTAAGCATGTACCAGCTTCTCTGGGCTCAGCAAAAACTGTGCTCAATGTTGTTTCACATTCAAATGTCAGACTACAGCTGACTGCACAGTGAGAGACAGGCCTGACTAAGCCATTCAGCTAAATGGAATAACCTTTGTTTGTATGCTGTGTGATCAGCACATATTTGTGTCATACTGTTATATAGATCATAACAAAACTCATGCCTTAAGAAGAAATACTGGGGCATCACATGGACTAGAATCTTGCCCACTACTAGTTTTAAGCTTAGTTACAACATTGTTCCAGCTATTGTTTATGTTGCCCTGTGCCATGATAAACAGTTTTAGTTATGTGTCTGTTGCCTATTACACATTGCGCTAGCGCTGATATAGTGGCCAGATGACTTGGTGAGTGGGATAAGGGTGCGAATGCTGCCTTTAGTGAAAAGATGAAGGTGGCATTGCATATAGGAAGAAAAACTATCGAGGGCAACTCAATAAACAGAGGAATAAGTGTGCTTTGTTCATGCAACACTGCCTGTTCTGGGTTGAGAAAGATTTGTTCCTCATGCTCTTGTGCTTTAATTATTGCTTTTGGCCTCAACTCTCAAGTTGTACTGTCAGCAAAATTCCTCATGAGGTTAATTAACAGTTTACTTCCTCCCTTTACTTGGGTCGCTTGACGACAAGAACACAGATGCAGGAAAGAATGGAAAAAAAATAGTCTTTGAAGTGCCCAGATCATGGAAAACTGAATTTTTTTCCTCCCTTTTTTTTGAAATAGGAGTTTTGTAGTGTGTAAACGTTTAAAACATACTGTCTGCTCTGTAAAGTCCATACACCTGTATATCACTGCTGTCGGAACAAAACCATATCTCTAAAATGATAACTTCACAGGAGGAGTAAACATGCTTTACTCTTAATTTGAGATAATGGAACCAGACATTTTGCCAAATAATTTTGGGCCATTTCTTTTGGTCCATTCATCCTGAAATTTAGACACAATGTAATGGACAACTTTCAAATTATGACAAAAACTGAAAAACAATAAACATAGAGATATGAGGTTTTGTTCCAGCAGCAGTGATATGCAAAATAAGCTGAAACAACATCCTGTTTTGTTTTTTGTGATGTCAGGAAAACTAGCTCATTTACATATGTCAGCCTATTCAGCTTACAGCAGCTTAGCCCCACCCAGTCACACTGAGGTTATAAGGAGTGTTTCAGTCCAGACTGCATTTCGAATGGGCAGCCACTCAGAGCCAGCTCATTTACATTTATCAGTCTTAAAGGCACAGTCTGTTTAATTCTAAGCAGTAAAGAGAGGTTGGGAAATGTCATTTGAGGATAATTTATGGCTATTTTTGGTATATAAAATCAAACAAATGTTTGAATTTGACCTCAGAGGAAAACATTACATATTTTTATGGAAATACTAACCTAAACATCAAATACACATCTAAGAACTTAATGGAAACAGTTTAAATATACGTAAAATCACCCTGTAAACTATTCTATGTGTGTCTGCACTTATTTGTGGAAATAGATCTATTGAACATACTTAAGTATTCTGTCAGTAGGCAGTTCTAGTCCTCAGACAGTAATGCTGAATGGCACCACTTGGGGGCAGTGTGGCAATGTTTTAGCACCATAAACTCCGCTCACAACTGAATTAAGCTTCGGCTGACAGCGTGCTGCAGTGTGATGACCCTGTTTTCAGTGCATCATCAGCTGCAGTATGAAGCGAAGACTCAATCAATAGCTGTGGCCGTTCTCACCTCATATTAGTCGCAGATAACCTAATGTCACTGTCTAAATAGAGTGGAAAAATTCGGTACATATTCCCTGTGCTCAGCACTTGGGCTAAGTAATTCTGTAATATTACATATGCTGTTGGATTTGCGATCAGATGTCATTCTGTTACTTTATCATACAGAACGCCAATAGCAGTTTCATTTCAGGCTGTCTATACTAGGACTTTGTTGTAGCTGTGTCAGTTCAGTTGGACCTTATCTGCTGGATATCATATCCCAACAGCAAACTGCTTCAGCTTGCCAACCAGAAAGCTGTGATGTTTTCACAGGGAGTACAGGGAGTGATGAATGAGCGTGTCTGCGATTGTGTCTACATCTGTGTGACTGTGAGAGAGAGAGAGGCTCACAGAGTAATGCGCATAAGCCTTTTCTTTATGTTTACTTTTACCAGCCGACTGGTTTTCAGGTCAACTTGTATATCTGTAGGTCAGTCGCAAAATGTTGCACGTCCCAATTCTTCCACTTTTAAGCAAATAATACAGTGTTTA